CACATCAGATACTCTCTGGAAATATGATAACCTGCAAGAAAACAATCCTGGTGATATTTGAGGTTGTTAACCCCAGTAACTACAGATAGCGAAATATCACTTTGCATAAGTAGCCAGCAAATACAAGAGGATGTATTTACCTGCTCTGTAAAGCCATAGAATTCATGACCTAGATTTTAAGTAGCTCAATCATAGTTCAGTCTTTTGATTGACCAATTCCTAGCTCACTTTGGTCTATCACTCATAACAGAAATACCCTATGTATGACTCTAGTAGTAAGAGCCTAGGTATTAGAACCATTGAAATAAACACAGAATCCTACATGTTACATTTGTACTTCATAATTATATAAGACTGGGCACATTAATAATTTGTTAGAGGAATGTCTTACACATTGACAACAAAAACCAGAACACCAAATAACAATCTGGGAGGGTACGACCTCGTAGACGATCCTCACTCTGTCAAGGACATAGGAGTACTCATTTCAAAAGATCTAAGCCCTAGAGCTCACTGTAACAACATTATTTTTTTTTAATTTGATTTATATGCCGCCCTTCTCCGGAGACTCAGGGCGGCTTACAATGCGTAAAGCAATAGCCTTCATACTTTTGTATATTTATACAAAGTCAGCTTATTGCCCCCACAAACTGGGTCCTCATTTAACCTACCTTAGAAAGGATGAAAGGCTGAGTCAACCTTGAGCCTGATAAGATTCGAACCTGCAGAAATTGCAGGCAGCTGTGTTAATAACAGGGTGCATTAAACCACTGTACTACCAAGGCTCCTAATATTGCCAAAAAGTCATTAAGAGTTGTTAACCTAACCTAACCTAGAAGGTTGTTAACCTTCTTCTCGGGTAACATTACCATGGACCTCCCCCCATTCCTAAGAGGTCTGTAAGGGAGTGTGCATAAGCACACCAGCGTGCCAACCATCCCTGTCTTAGTGTTCCCATTTATTCGTACTCATTTCTTATGTTTATACTTATATCTGTTTATACTTATCTGTTTATATGTTATGTTTATACTTATTTTCTCATACATGCTTGACAAATAAATAAATAAATAAAAATGTGACCCTTTTGCTGGTTTACAATCAAATGCCTTGAACCAGGGGCATCAGCACTGGGTGGAGGGTGGAGTTTAAAAAATCAAGATAGCATTGTAATTGTGGAGCCAAGTTCCATCTCTGTGTTTACATTGACCATGGTGGGGTCCAAACTTAATGGTTTGAAAGGACAAAGGGACATTGTACAGCATTGTAACACAAAAAACAAATATTTGCTTGCTATAGAATTACAGTGGGTGTACTTCAGACATTGTCCCTCAAACTGTGCTAAATAAATACAGTGACAGTTGAAACAATTTATCTGTGATGATCATTTAACTATTGCAAAATTCCTGGCAGCCTCCTTTTACACTTTATCTAGTGTTGCTATAGAATTTTACATGGTTTCAGGAAAGAATGGGGGTGCCCCCCCCCACGAATTTTGCTGTAGTGCCTCAGTTAATAAGTGACAAGTTTCATATTCCTTTGCAATTCTCCTGTCCAACAGTTGCTAAAATCCTTCTCTCCCCTTTTTATGGTCTGAAGTAGGAAATAAAATGGAATTGGACATATTACCAAGGTCCCCTCTAAAGCAAATTCAATGGTATTTTTTGGTGTTTCATTATTGCTATTTGTCAAAAACTTCAGGCAGAGGGTCTCTATCTAACGTATCTTTCTGTGTATGAGATGATACTTTTTCTTAAAAATATTTACCTAAAAATGGAGGGATGTCTTATACATGGGGGCCAGAGAGGAGAACCGTGATTGCAAAACTGCCGATACCTTATCTCTGCAAACTAGCCTCAAGAGCGAAATTTCCGATTGCAGAGACAAGCTAAAAGGTTTCCTCAGTCATGAGTCTTATGTAACTGATGTCAGCTGATGCTGCGGAGAACATGTAGCCAGTGCCCAGATGCGACAGGGAGCAGTAATGTCAGTGTGTTCTGAGCCCATAAAAATGTCATAAAACAAAAAAATTAATACTGGTACCAGTAAGCGAATGTCTTACTCTGCAAAATGAATGCCTATTTAATGTTTAAAATATTGATTTCTGAATTGTGGATAAGAAAAGGGGGGGGATGTCCTGTACATGGGGGCGTCTTATAGACGGAAAAATACGGTAACTGAATCAGAGCAGCATCATGGCAATATTGTGCTGATCAGTAGGTCTTGTTTGTTTCACTGAGTTTAGCATAGAAGGGGCCTATGGCATTCTTCTTAGTGTTTAGATTATAAATATTGTCAAATCCTTTAACTTGTTGGGCTTTATGCTTTTTCTGTAGATTTTATGACAAGAAATACCAAGTGTTTCTAAAACTTGCGGAAGATCAAAGAAAATATAAATCCATCATGCAGAATGCATAGAGAGCATAAAGAAGAATTATCTTTCATATTAGAGGTCGGACTGATTTCTTTGACTTTCTTGATTAGCTATTTACATTAATGAGAAACATTGTAGTAAAAATAACAACATACTTTATAGCCTATTGAATATGAACAGAGATGTATTTTATTAAGGTGATATCATGGTACAAACTTGTCAAATCTACATTTCTTGAATCAGTGTCTCAACCAGAACCCCCACAGCTATCATTCAGCATTCATTTTTTTCAGAATTGCATAATCTGTTAAAAAGCTTACAAAAATATGTGTATTAAGCAAAAGTGTACAAAAGGGAATATATAGATAAAATATGCAAAACGCATACTTTTTTAATATTTGCAAATTTAAGTGAAAATAAAATAAACTGAAGCTTGGGAAAGAGAATGTCAAAATTATACAGTAAATGTACCTTCATTGGTCAGGCTTTCTATTTAATGTCAAAAACTAAATTGGAGAAAGATTTCATTCTTGTTGCTTATTGTTGTTTCCAGTAATAAAATCAAGAGTCATAATGTGACATTATGAGAACCAAGAGTTAAGAAGATATACCTCTTAATGAACTTTGTAGACTAAATTGCTGCAGAAGAGAATAGCTAGATAAAATTTTACACCATATTTTTTCCGATTCATTATCAGTGTAATTTTAAATATGTCTTAAAACTCATTTGTCAGTCCTTCAATGTAGACTAACTCAGGAAACAGAATGTTGGACTCTTGTTATATAAGAAATGTTGGAGGATCTTGATTTTTGCTAGAGTAACATGTTAAAAATCTGGTTCTGTTTTCCTATCCATCTTTTTTATATCTGGGGAGTTAGAATCCGTTTGAGTTTCTTTCTAATGTCCTTGATTTCTGGGTTTAATAAATGCATAGTTTGTTCAAGGTTTGGCTCTGTAGTATTGCAGTTATTGTTCTTATCAAAATTAATAAAGAACATTTATACATTTTTTCTAGTATCTCAATTCAGTTATTTTAACTGATCAGTTTAATCTGAAATTTGCTCAATTATTCAAAGCTCTATGAGATAAAAATAAAAGTTTAGAAGAACATCAGATAAATTTCCCTGTTCATTCGCCAGTGTCCTCGTGTCATGTGGCACAGGTGTCAAATTTGTGATGTCACGCTGTTGTCATGTGATGTTTCGTGATTTTTTTTAGTTCGTGGAGCTGGGGTAGCCATGGCCTGCGCATGACACATCTGGCCAGCGGGCCACCAGTTTGACACCCCGACCTTTGATAACCTGACAAGTAAAGTCAATGGGGAAGTCAGATTCACTTAACAATGATGTTAATAACTTAACAACTGCAGTGATTCACTTAACAACTGTGGCAAGAAAAGTTGTAAATGGGACAAAGCTCAGTTAGCAAATGTCTCACATAGCAACAAAAATTTTGGGCTCAATTGTGGTCATAAATTGAGGACTACCTGTCTGTAATTCTCTGAGATGATTTTTACAAAAATCTTGATATAAGTATGGATATAAACAGAAATAAAGCAACTCTCAGAACATTGTAAAGAATAAATATATGCATAGATATATACATATTGTATTTAGATATAGTTTTATGCATAATTAATGTATAAAAGCTTGTGTTATGAAATGAAGTTTGTATTGGTTACATGTGAAGTGTACTTAGAATGTTTTCATTAACCATCTCTTTATTTTATTCATACTGTATTCACACAATCCTACGATTCTTATGAAAACTAAGGAGAAATTTCCTGACAGTTAGAACAATTAATCAGTGGAACAACTTGCCTCCAGAAGTTGTGAATGCTCCAACACTGGAAGTATTTAAGAAGAGATTGGACAACCGTTTGTCTAAAACAGTATAGAATTTTCTGCCTGAGCAGGGGGTTGGACTAGAAGACCTCCAAGGTCCCTTCCAACTCTATTCTATTATTATTCTGTTCTTCTAACTCTATTCTATTATTTTGTTCTACTCTACTCTACTCTACTCTACTCTACTCTACTCTACTCTACTCTACTCTACTCTAGGGACTTGGTGGCTCAGTGGCTAAGATGCTGAGCTTGTCGATCAGGTCTGCAGTTCAGCAGTTTGAATCCCTAGCACCGCGTAACAGAGTGAGCTCCCATTACTTGTCCCAGCTTCTGCCAACCTAACAGTTTGAAAGCATGTAAAAAATGCAAGTAGAAAAATAGGGACCACTTTGGTGGGAAGGTAACAGTGCTCTGTGCACCTCTGGCATTTAGTCATGCCGGCCATATGACCACGGAGACGTCTTTGGACAGTGCTGGCTCCTTGGCTTAGAAACAGAGATGAGCACCGCCCCTATAGCCAGAAACAACTAACACGGATGCGCAAGGGAACCTTTACCTTTATTCTACTCTACTCTATTAACATCTAGATTTAGATATAAACTTTATCCAGTACTGCCACTTCATTTTCTCAGTACCTTCTGCTTCCTAATTCCTGTGCCTGCTCCTAACTACCAGTATCAATGTCCTAATCAGGGATATATCAGTCATTTGGTCTTCCCCAAGATACTCTAACATGTATTCTTAAAACAGCAGCAATGCCTGTTTAAAGACTCGGAGACCTCACTGGTTTTAAGTCCTTTATTAGCATAAGAGCATCCAGCCAATATATTCTCAATTGTTTGCTTACACTTCAGTGCAACATATTAGCCCTTAATCACTTTTTAAAACTAAGTCCACCAACAGCCCATTATAAATGTATCAAGAATGGTTAATTTTGACTTTTCAGAGACAATGCCATTCCCTCCCTTACGATGCCAAGGTAATGGTTTCTTCCCTAGAGATCATCCTGTTTGCATCTTCTGATTCCATTTGAGGGCAAATGTTTATAAAGCTAATCAAAAGTAAGATTACTACAGCTACATTATCAGCTGTCTGCAAGTTTCTACAGAGAGGTTCAGGCATCCCTTCAGGTGGGCAGTTCATGCACATGATGGTTCCAAGCAAACAGATGACAACTCTGAAGAGAAAGACCCACATGAGGGCAGCTAGCGTGAAGATTCCTCTTAGGATAACAGGGAGAAGAAGTGGCATGTCATAAAGATGATCTATAAACTAAGCACAGAGATCGGGTAGGTTAGGAATCTACTATTAATCTGAATTATTCTGATTTTAGGGGAAGGAATTTTATAGCTGGGGACTTGCCCATTGCTGAACTCCATGGATTAAAACTTAACAAAGCAGAATAAATAATTAGGTAGCACTCTTTCGTCCTCCTCACTTGGGGTCACCCCAAAAAGTTGTTTTCCTTTGGCATGACAGCCACCTACTTAATGCCCCATTAAAAGAAATAACAATTTCTCCTTAGGAGAATAGCCAGCACCACTTCACTCATGGAATCTCGTTAACGTAAGTCAATGAGATCAATTTTCTTGATGTGGAAAATGTTATCACTTACAGACTGAGGCTGCCCTGAGAAGCGTTTGTTGTAAGTTCTGATGTCATAGAAAGTTTGCTTGTTTTTCTTGTCAGGCTGGTTTTCAGAAGAGGTGTACAAAGAAACAACCTTGCAAAAAAAAAAAAAAAAAGCAAAACCCAAGATGTTGAGAACTAAGGTGTAGGTTTGTCTTCTGCTAGATAGAAAGACCCAATTAATTATATGGATTTACATAGCCACCCATTTCACACTATGTGACTCTGCATGGTTTATGATAAAATAGATAAATGCATACTATATAAAAATGAAAATGTGCAACCACTAAACATTATAAAACAACTATCAACATAGCCTGGATATGGGCTCTATCACATATCCCCAGACTATAACCCAGATTCGGGTACAAAATCAGGATTTCATGGTCATATGAAAATCCAGCAGGGTTGAGGCTAGTCTAATCTAAGAGGAAATGATATCCTGAAGGCTGGGCAGCTCAGCAGAAAAGGCTATCCTGGTCCCCACCTGCCAACATCCCAGCAGGCCATTTCATGATTGCTATTTCTTTGAGCTTCTGGGTCATATGCTTTACCCTTTGAGGTTAAGTTCTTCCCTAGCAAGCTTGCTTCTTTACACTGAGACCGTTGTGCAGTTTACACCATGGTCAGCAGGTGAAGCTCAGAGTATAACAGTGGTCAGTTTTTCCGGATCTGCGGACCGGCAGTGGCAGCAGCGGGGGGTAGGGGTGGGGGGAGAGAGGATGGTTCAGTGCAATGGAGCTTTGCACGCAAATGCGCCAGCCCATACCCTGCACAAATGAAGTTTTGCGTGCTCACCCGTTTGCTCGCTGCTTGCACAGCCTGATTCCCAACAGGCTACGGCCTGGTACCAGGCCATAGCCAGGGGTTGGGGACCCCTGGAGTATAAGAAGAAAGAACAAACTTATTTATTTATTGGATTTTTATCCTGCCTTTATTATTTTTATAAATAACCCAATAACTGACCATACACAATACTCCTTCCTTACAACAACAACTCTGTGAAGTAAGTTGGGCTGAGAGAGAGACTGGCCCAAAGTCACCCAGCTGATTTTCCTACCTAAGGTGGGACTAGAACTCACAGTCTCCTGGATTCTTGGCCAGCACTTTAACCATTACACTAAAATGGCTCTTTGGAGGCAATCAACCATTTTTTTAAAAAATCAAAGCCTATTGCAGGTATACTGTTTAATCCAGTGGTGAAATTCAATTTTTTTTACTACTGGTTCTGTGGGCGTGGCTTGGTGGGTGTGGTGTGGCTTGGTGGACATGGCAGGAGAAGGATACTATAAAATCTCCATTGCCACTCCAGGAGAAGGATACTGCAAAATCCCCATTCCCACCCCACTCTGGGGCCAGCCAGAGGTGGTATTTGCCAGTTCTCCAAACTATTCAAAATTTCTGCTACCGGTTCTCCAGAACTTGTCAGAACCTGCTGAATTTCACCCCTGGTTTAATCATTGATAGTTCTTTGATCTGACAAGCATGAAATTAGAAATGCTGATATCTATATTAAGGAATGAAAACCTGAAATATGAGACAGTTATTCTTGGTGTTTTTCTACCTCCTTTTGTAACTTCAAAGAAAAGATAGAAATTCTTACTTTTTGCCTGCAAAGTGGACAGTTGATTGCACTCAGCCAAGACCCATGTTTCCAGTATTCAATTAGACAGTAACCTAGGAAAGGAAGACATATCTTTGTAAGCCAAAAAGTTGCATTGTGGGAAAACACCATAGCCAACTCTGTAGCTGTTCACACCAAAAGGTGATTTCTATATTACTGTTGTGACCCAGGCCCAAGTAAGTAGTAGGAAAATCAGTCAGTGAAAAAACAAACAAACTTTATTTGAACAGCTGAGAATTACTTCATTCCCAGCGTCGTTCAACAAAATTAAAGCAAATTCCTCCCAACACAAATTCCTCAGTCCAATTGTAAATCTTGGTCCAATTAGGCAAACTGCCAAAGGCCTTTCTTGGCAAACGCTCAGAAGTCACAGATACAAAAATAAATACAAGACGTAGATGAAGAAGAAGACGAAGCTTCCAACGTTGTTTTCCAGCAAAGCCCAAATGCCGTTGCTGGTCTGTTTTAAGCCTTATGGGAGGGGCCAATCATCTCTTGGCCCAACTCCCGAGTTGTCCTCTTTGCTTGAGCTGCTCTTGCCTTCTGGCAGCTCTTCTCATGCATGTATTAGGAACAGGCTCCTCCTGTTCCTCTGCCTCACTCCTATCAGACTCTGGAGGCTCTGGAGTCCGCACCTCACTCCCCAATGGCCCTGGCCCCATCTCTGCCTCTGATGCAGAGCTCTCATCCGGGCCTTCCCCAGCCTCCAGGACTGGCCCATGTTCTTCCTCAGCCTCATTGCTGTCCGACTCTGTTGCCAGCTCCACAGGCTGCTGGCGGACCACAACAATTACATGATCTAGCAAGAATGCAACAAAAACTCAAGAGAAGTATGTGAGATGCTCAATACACTGAAATTTTAATTCCATATGAGACAGTAATTAAATGGATATCCATCTACACATTTGAAAACAGAATTAAACATTGCTTGAAAATTTAATGGTCAAGTTTTATATTTTGTTTCCTGTGTGGCAGATTTGAAGGATGGGAAAGCAACCCTTTTTCAAGGCAGGGTAGTTGTGGATTCAGGCATTTCAAAATGATATAGGATCTTTCAATCATGTCTATTCCAATTCTTTTTAGCCCCCCCCCCAAGAAACATTATTAGTAATTAGAAATATTATTGGCCCAATGTTAGTCTTCTGTGCCATTTCCTGGACATATGGTTTGAAATTTGAGACTTTTGGAAAATGTATAGCAATTTGTAACAATAATACAAAAGAACGATCATGCCTTTTTTTTAAAAAAAAAAATCATGCTCTATAAGCATTTAAAACTTTAGATAATACATTTTCAATAAGTTATTTGCTCCACTCTTGCATCTTTTAATGCCAAATATAATTAAATGTACAGAATGAAATTTAGCTAGTCCAAAGCCTGTTTGTAGTTTCCTTCTTAAAATTATATGTAAATGGAGGCAGCGAGAAAATTATAAGAAATCGTAGGAAAGCTTGTTTATTGCTATTGATCATTGTATGGATGTGTTGATTAACTTGAACTATTTGTACATTCTTCAAGCTTGTATTTTGGGAGGATTGAAATAACACGGTCTATGCATTTTATAACATTTATTCCCTACTTGGAGAATCTAATATTAGAACAAAGAGAACAGAAAGGGATTCCTGTGTGGGTGTGGTTAACTGCATGAATGCTCTTGTTTTATAGCAGAAAGTCACATAATATCAGTTCCCCTTCTGGTTTTGATAGCCAGATGTTTTTAAATATACATGTGTTGCAATATGGCTAAATTAAATATGTTGCCTTTATATGGTCTATCCTGTATAACAGGGAAGTGGATACCAAAGGCAGTGGGAAAATGAGAATTACATTTTTAATAGAATTATAAATATGAGGTCTTACTCCATACGTTAAATTCCTTACTAATCCATATTAGAATTTTATTTGTATTACAATGGTTCTGGAGGAACAGGTTTATTCTAATAACTCTCTAATTTGATACATTGCACTGTTGATTATCCTGGTTTTAAATGCTTGTAGAATGATGCTGCAAAAATGAAAGTTTCACCTTATTGGTGCAGTGCCCATTATCAGAAAAATAGCTGTCATCAATCCTACTATTTTGCTGCACTAGGAATGCTACTATTTTTCTTCATATGCCCTATGGTATAAACTTTTGGGGAGCAATTTCTGCCATGAAAAGTCTTGACATCAATCCTATATTCTACACTGCTCTTTGGGGATAATTTTTTAAAAGCATTGCTATTTGTTCTATGCTGTCCTTGAACACAAATGGGATTTTTATGCTGTGTGTTCACTGTTTTTAATAACTGCTTTAAAAATACTTTGAACATTTTATTTTAATTGTCTTAAAACTATAAGCCATGCAGAGAATATTTGTCAGTAGCCATACACATTTTATAAAATAATCTTTATAAACCTTTATATATTTACTTTACTTCTTTTTTCATATTAGATGCAAATCCACCACTCTGCTAGAATAAAATTACAAGTGATTTGGTAATTTGCTATTGTTATGTTTTAATGTTGCCAGACACCACAGCGCTTTTTGTCATATATACTGGTGATAAAGATGATGGTGATGATTTATCTCCATTAACTTCAGCTGGGAAAAATGTGCCTGCAATTTCTCAAAATATTACTAAGCATAAACCCACAAATATCTCTCTACATGATGGAAAAATTTGCTTAACTAAAAAAAAAAAAAAAACCTGCATCTTTTGAACACTGTAAGATTGCATGATGTGGTATTTTGAAGAGCAGACATTAAAATGTGTATAAATTCTAGAGTGTTTTTAATTAAAAAATAGGTGATTTGAAATATTTCTAATTTATTTATTTTTTGCCTTTTTCAGATGGCAGGAGGTAGTTTTTTAATTTACTTAATTCTCAAGGCAACAATGTTCATATTCTTGCTATTAAATTAGCTTAAAGCTTTGACTGCCAATTGTTTTTGTTCTGTTTGATATAGCTGTTTCTGTTGGCCTTTTGCCAGCTCAGAGACTCAAATGGAAATGTTAAGTAAGTACAGTACTCTTGGTCTCAAAAGTATAAATTTCCTATTTAATTGTCCACAAGACTTCCTGAGCATTGCAAACTTTATAATGTGTCTGTGGTACTATACAATAGCTGAAGTAAAAGTAAAGTAAAAAGTTGCTTCATTTATTTTTTTTTCATAATAAAAATAGTGATGGGTATGTGCATTTTTACAATAGATATCAAGATTAATTTGAACATGGTAGTGTGAATATATTCAGAGATAGATCACTGACAAATGTTACGTTATGATTTATTTCATGGAAACTTTGGCCCTTATCAGCTGTCTTTTGCATAGTTTCATCCACAAATGGGCATTTGTTTCACAAAATGTATATGCTCTCTACTGTTTAATTCTATAATTTCATGTATTATGAAGGTTACTGTAGTCTTGCAAAATAACATTTATGAGCAAACGGTAGTAGCCCAATTAACTTGCCACAAAAGACATGTCCACAGTTGGTTTCTGCAGGGAAATTGGCGGTTTGGAGACAGATAGGACAGCTCAAATCACTGGGATAGCATTGCTGCCACTGCTGAAGACGTTCCTAAGAGGGGAAAAAATGCTGTTTAAAGATATTCCAGTTAATTCCAGAAATGCTTTAGAGGCTTTAATAATTGACCCTAGAAAACTCTGAAAAAGTAGTACAATGCTTAATAGAATGTTTACTAGTTTTACATATTTCTGAATCTGCCATAGTAGTTGGTTTATGACTGTGGGTGTCCTTTGAAAATGCTTATCTAAGCACCAATTTTTTTAAAAAAAGTGGTCGGATGGGAAAGAAGCAGAGAAGTGTATTAAAGGCAATCCCTTTAATACATGAAAACTTGATTAATGCAGTCATTCTGTTTTTATAAATTCAGCATATCATATATCAAGCCTCTGTTTGGAAAACTAATCCTACTTCTTGTTTTTGAAGTTTCATCTCTTTCCAAAACAGGAACCATATGTTTCTAATTAAGCTGCCACAAAATTCTGGGTTCAGGGATATTCAATTCTTCCGGAGGATAAATAATCAGAAGTTTGAAAACTTTCCTGATACCTATGATTTATGCACATATCTTTTGGATTTTGTATTATGTATCTTAAGAGATGTTATAAACTTACTATTCTGGAGGATGAAGGAACACAATTCTTTTCCAAAGAACTCATTTCTTGTCTTTAAGTTGAGAACTCTATAAAATAAGTAAGACTTGATATAATTTTGATAAGATAGGCTGTTGATGAGACAGATTTGGTTAGGTAGATATGCAGTTCAAATAAACACAATGAATATTTATATAATAGCATGCTCTTCCATGCTTCCATAGACTATTCTTCAGTCATAAAATCATTTCATCTCCTCCTTCCCAAGGATAATTTTTCTTCAAAGCAATGGCATTTGCATTTTGCACACATCTTTTCAATTGTTGTTTGCAACTTTTTCTAGGCATTTTCAACGTAGGTGCTGAAGTTTAACTGGTAATTTGATCATCTTCAATGCATGAAACTTCAATATATAACTTTGTATAGTATAATTAGAATAACTAATTAGGCTAATGCATTATCCCATTCACTCCAATGCAATGATGAGTCTACATCTATGTTCTTGTGAACCCTTGGCGTTTATAGGGAATATAATTACTCCCTGTATAAATATAGCAGAATTTTTCCCCACTGTAAAAATGACAATTAGTGGCACTTTGGTAAAGGGTATTAGGAACAGAGTCTTTGAAATGCATACCACATTTTTATATAACTGCCATCCTCAATAGGACGGATCTCAAGTAGACAAAGAAATGTTCTATGAGATGACAGCAAGAGTATATTTCTAAATAAATATTTTTTTCAGAACTTAGTAGTGTATAATTAATGTTAGTCTCATTGAAATAAAAAACATTTTGACTGAAGTCATTTATTTTATCAAATTTAGATATCACCCATTTCACTATTTAAATTTTAAATTATAATTTTAAAATTATAATAAATAAGGTAATTATTCTTGGATTAGGCAAAACTGGGAATTTAGATGTGATCACCATCTTGATTCCTATTCCTTTAACAGTTCCTATAATTAACCAGAAGTGACTATATTAGAAACATTTTTTTCCATTTAGAGTGATTCCCAGACAGAAGGAATAACTTGTTAGAATCTGTCATTGGTTAACTAACCTGATATATTGTTGGAGACTTTTAACTGTGTATCCAAACAGAATCTGGAGTGTTATTTTTAAGCAACATAACACAAGGTTTCTGGACATTTACAGTTCCCGATCATCGGGTCAAAAAAACCTTGCTTCCTTATCTTTGACCCGAGACCCCATTTGTAGCTTTAAGTGACTACTGGTTTCAAAAAAAGCATCAGAGCTGCCCTCTGTTTATTTTGAGCTAAGTCCAGCATCCCAGATGAGTTATAAAAAGAAACTGGTATTACACAGAGTTAATGATTCATTTCATTGAGGCATTTTCATGCTACTTGAAAAATCCCTCCATCTCTCCTCATAGACTAAGTCAGCAATCTAACCTTCACCCACACTATCTCTCTGTACAAATGCTTTTAAGTCAATCTTGACTTCTGATGAGTACCTAAACTAGTCCCTGCAGTTTTCTTGACAGGATTTTTGGAAGTGGTTTGCCATTGCTTCCTTTCTAGGGCTTAGATATAGTGGCTCGCCCACAGTCACCCGGCTGGCTTTGTGCCTAAGGCAAAACCAGAACTCAGTCTTCTGACTTAGCTTTTCACTACTACACCACATTGGCACTCATATGTTATCTATGTGCACATGTGTGTGCTCACACGCACATGTACATACCGGTATGTAGATAGAGTTTATAATATCTTACCATGATTTCTGGTTTAGAGGCTATTAAATTAACAAAACAAGTTACACTAAAAAAAAGTATAGTCTCTGCTTAAAGTTTGAATTTAAGATTCAGCTTTGTTTTCTCTTTACCTCAACGAGATCTAGAGAGAAAATTTTCACATGCCAAGCATATAAAATACCTTACTAGACCAGTTATTAGAAATTGTGGTGCAGGTTTGTTTGTTTGTTTATTTATTCACTTAAACCCAACTCTCCCCATTCAGCATGCAATAATAACAAGAGCAAGCCTTGACATTAAGATTTACATTGTAAAAACATTGTAAATCTATGTGTTCTTACATAGAATTAAAGAATACTGAGATCAGACAAGAAAAACAGAAATAACTGAAAGTCAAATTGTATATGTCTTTCTTCCTGGCATACAATAGTACAGGAGAATAACTATTGGGTGACAGGTGGAGAAATGACAAAATCAAGTTCTATATTTATGGTTATAGTTTAGTTGTGCATGTTTCTATTATACAGAAGAAATCAAACCTCAGGAGGGCATCAACAGTGGTTGAAAAAGGAGGTCCTGATAATTCCTGGGAGTTGAGCCATGTGGGGATTCATAGATCATGACCAACATGTTGAATTGGACCTGGGAGCAAATGAGTGGCCAGTACATAAATGAAAGCATTGGGGTTACATTGTTAAACTTATTATGTTATATTTGAGCCAACTTTGACTTCTGAGTTATCTTTCAAAGGCAGCCCCATGTATAGTGAATCTCAGTAACCTAATTGTAAAGTGAAGAGGGCATGAGTTATCAAATCATAGATCTGCTGTTCTCAGATCAAGATACCCAACTTCACTACTGCTAAGAACACCCTGGTTTTAAATGCATGTCAATAGATCTATGAAGTAGTCAATTTTGGTTTCTCTTCTGTTGCAGCTTTTTGTATAGTAACTCATACTATACAAGATTTCTCAAGTCTCAGAAATGTTTTTTTGGGTAGCACACAATGAGTAAGGATCAACCTACTTTCTATAAGATCCCCTTTGGCTACAGCTTAGTACACCCTAATATAAATAAAAATTGCATAAAGTCCAGCTAAGTTAGAGTTAAATTGTGTTCATTTTTTCCTGTATAATTTCAGAGAAGATTTTAGCAGAGAATGTGAATAAGGCTACCAGTACTTAACCTAAAATTGAAATTTAACATTATTTTTTTCAAAATGCTCTATCTTTACTTTCTGATATCAAAAAACAAAACAAAAATGTTATTTTCATACATATGAAAATCTCCCCCCTCCCTTTATCTTATGCAAAAGAAAATACAAGAACAAACATTTTAACTTAAATTCATATCATCTTAGAAACTTACCTGGTCCCAGAAGAGGCACACAAGGTATGACTACACTTTAGTAGATGCCTAGGAACAACTTTTCCCAAAAAAAACTTCTGATCTTCTCTCTAGGTTAGGGTGACAGAAGAGTGTTGTGATAGAAGGTCACAGCCCATACTTTATTAAGGTGGACCATTTAATTTAGTTAATAATTAACATGTTTGACTAATGTCAATGTTTTGTAGGATTTCCAAATACTCATGGAAGTATTTGTTCCTCATATTTATAAGGATTAAATCATTAAAACTACAATTAGTGTTTCCAGAAAGTTTCCAGATCTTAAGCGATATTAAATTAGAAACAATGTATATGTCCATTTTTAGGAGATATTTGCACAATTAATAAGAAAACATGCTATCAAGTGAGCTTCAAAAGGAGGATATTAGACCTCCAAATAATTGCATCATTATAAAGTGGAGGTATAGTTCATTCCCTTTGCCAAGGGAGTTAGGATATATATAAATACAAACAGGCTACTTGCAGGGGAAGATTATTGCTGAAATAGAATCAATGCACCTTATAATGTAGATTTGAAGCCCAAAGAGTAACAAAGAACTCCATAGAGTAACAAAGAGCCATGGTGTCGTAGTGGTTAGAATGCAGCATTGCAGGTTAATTCTGCTGACTGCTGATTGCTAGCAGTTTGGCACTTCAGATCCCACTGGCTCAAAGTTGATTCAGCCTTTCAATCCTTCTGAGGTGGGTAAAATGAGGACCCAAATTGTTGGGGGCAATATGCTGACTCTGTAAACCACTTAGACAGGGCTAGAAAGCACTGTGAAGTGGTATATAAGTCTAAGTGCTATTACTATCTGGCTACCTATTTCTGATTATTCCCAGGATGGATGAAATGGGTCATGTATTACTTGCCTTCAGGTGGTCTATGTAGCTTCAGAATGATTTTAGAGTCAGCAGCAAGCAAAGATAGAGGTAAGAAATCAACTTGTTCTTCAACCTTCTCATGATCTCAACTGAGTATAGACGTGTGAGAAATGTAGAGAGAAATGTCTTTAAATAGAGTTTGCACAACCTGTTGCTTCCTGCACCAAGCTCTCCAAAGGACAGACAATTCTACTAGATTAATTCTACTAGAAACTAGATTCTTCTGGTCTGTCCATTCTAAAGTCCCTGTTTTTAGCTAGCTTCCTTGAGCTTCTCAGCTGGTATAGAAAGAACAAAGCATACTTTTATAAACTGCTTGAGGCATTGTGAACAATAACAGTGCTTTGCTCACCCCCAGTCCTCCTGAGAAGTTTCAGAGTTCTGTCCCAAGAACAAAAGTCTGTTATTCATGTTGTATGGAAAAAAATGCATCCTGGTGGGGAAAAAGCCCTCCCGTCAAAGGTATCCAACAAAGCTAAAAAGATTAGATATGGATTGGTTCTTTTTTATTACATTATCAAATAAAATAAAAACCAATCCATATCTAACATTTTAAGTCAGCAAGACAAATTGAAACAGATGAGCCCAGATCTGTAGAGATGCTTCGGTTCAATGAAATTTTGAGAGCAGCAGCTGAAAACAAGTTCACAGAGGGTTTCAACCACCTTCCTGCCAAGGATGAAGGGTTTTGCTTTCGTTCAGTGTGCTTCATAGCCCCAATGTAGCCTCTTCAAATACTTGCACGGATTGGGAAAAAAATTGATGCAAGGGCACCTGTTGGAAAAACCTCTTCCAGTTTTTTTTTTGTTTTTTTTTTTTGCAAATGCTGAAAGAATTTATGAAGGCGATTCACACCATATCATCCTTCACAACTTCCTCTTACTATCTTTTGGCAGTTGCAAAGTGGAGGAGGTGTAAAATGACACTTTTCTCCTCACAGCCTTTTTTGTGTTTACAGATGCTAAAATTGTAGCTCTGAATAGAGTCTTGGCTTCTCTTTCGATTAGAGTTTACAACAAACTATGGCAGAACAGATGTGATTACTGTAGAACTGATACTTTATCATTCTACGCAAAACTGTCAGAATAGATATCTATGGTGTATACATGTGCATGTGTATAAGGATATGCGTGTGTGTACGTATACACATATTCAAGGAACACCAAAAATCAAGCCCTATAGATAATTTAGTATATACATTAAAAATTCATTTGGTTGTCATTTTCTTCTAAACATTTCCTGACTTGATTGACACATGACTTTTGAATATTTCAAAGTACAGTAATATTTTCTCTGAAAAATACATTATTCATAAAATTAATATACTGCGATTGGTTTACAGGGACCAACTTTTGGTACACCCTGAATAATATACCCACATGACAAGTAAACACATGTGAACATTTGAAAGTATATCATATAGACTCCTGCAAATCTGGCTGCTTGCCCATTCACAAAATGTTTACTATAGAGAGATGTAACCATATACACTACACAATATACCAGGCAGTGAATGGTAAGCTTGCCTCTGATCCCAGGTTATTTCTTTTTATCCTGACATGGTTTACCTTTTCTGGGAACATTTGAACTATTTCAGATCATCAGAAACTTGCAAACATTTGGCTTCTGCATTGAGCCTTTGCTGCTAATCTGGTAATCCTCAGCAAACTACATGTAAATATTTTCTTACTATGCTTGAATAACAAAAGTAATTGGAGGTTTTGGTGAACCATAAATCATCCAGGCATCCCAAAGGAGGGTGTTAAATGTCTAAATGACAGATAGGCCTCAATTTATGACCAAAATTGGGACCAGAATTTCCATTGTTGAACAAGGCAAACAAAGTTGTTAAGTGAGCCACACACGATTTTACAACATTTTTTTCCTATCATTGCTAAGCAATCCCTGCAGTTAAGTGAATCATGCAGTTGTTAAGCAAATCTGACTTCACCCGTTGACTTTGCTTGTCAGAAGTCAGCTGGGAAGGTTGCAAATAGCAATCACGTGACCCCCAGGATGCTGCAACCATCGTAAATACATGCTGGTTGCCAAGTGCCAGAATTTTGATCACGTGACCATGGAGATGCTGCAACAGTCGTAAGTGAGAGGATCAATCACAAGTCATTTTTTTCACTGCTGTTGTAACTTTAATGGAGGCTAAACAAATGGTTGTAAGCAGAGGTGGGTTCTACTTACCTTTACTACTGGTTTGCAACGGGGCCGCACGTGTGCTCTTCTGCGCATGCGCAGAAGCATTCTGATGATGTCGGGGTTGGTGGGCGGAGCCTCCCGCTGGTTTTACTACCAGTTCTATAGAACTGGTCCAAACCGGGGGCAACCCACTACTTGTTGTAAGTCAAGGACTATCCATATCTGTGGCTTTAACCTTCCAATTAGAATCTAACTAGATTTCAGCTGCATCTCTGCACCAGGCACAATAGGATAATTTCCTTATTCCCAAAATGCAGGAGAATAACCCAGGCTCACAAGAAGTTGTTGTACTTCTCAGTGTTTTTCAAGCTTAGCAACTTTAAGACATGTGGACTTCAATTCCAGAATTCCCCAGGCAGCGTGAGACCTGATCATTTGATTACTCCCAAGTCAGTAACATGAAAGAATTACCAACTTTAAAGATACTGAGCATTGTATCTCTGTATGAATTGATTTAATAGGATTCCATACTCACCACACTCATGTCTCTGCTTGGACAGAACCATCAAGGCACTTTTACTGGGTTGCCCCTTGTACCATTTTGGGGGGCTCTGATTTAATATTGCCTCCTCCTCCTCACTAAATGCATGGATTGACCATAAATGGATGTTACCTATTTTACAAAGGGGCCATACAAAGTCATATTGCCAAGAGGCAGAAAATGCATTCAATTCCCCTCCTTCCATTCTCATTGAGATTGTGTGATAAAGTTATTACATATTGTTCAGCAATACAATGCTTTCCACCAAAAAATGAAACTGAAAAGAGAACAAAAATGGCTGAAAATAAAAAGAAAAATAATTTCCTCTACAGTTGCTCTCCTGTTTAAAAAATTCTAAAACAAACAATATTTCTGAATGGAAGGAAGGGAATTGAATGCATTTTCTGCCTCTGGGCAATATGACTTTTGTATGGCCCCTTTATAAAATTATAAGGATTTAATATGAGTCTTAAAATATGGATAAAAAATAGAAATTAGAAGCAGCAGTCTTGGTAATACTAAGTGGAAGTTTCTTTTCTAGAGGTCGAATTAGCATGGGAAAGTGGGATTAGACCAATTCTGATCTTGTTTGGACTTCTAATAGCTCCTATTAATAATTTAAGACTCACATTATCTCCCAGGGACATTTGACTATTTTACGTGGTGTGGTTTTGAGTTACTTAATATGTCTCAATATTTGGATTAGTTTTGGCAGCTCAGAAGAATTAAAAAAAAAACACTTCATGTGAAAGATCAAATTCCTCCCTAATTAATTAAACTGACATTTAATTTCCATAGATCTTTATGGTTGTTGTCAGTATATTTTATTATACTCCTAGTAAAGATCCTAATGAGAGTAAACGTGTTTTGTAATGGTGTGTAGCATGCACTTTCCTACGTCGGGCTTGGTTTGCAATCCATCGGGTTTCTATCAGGTGGCGAGGAAAAAGCGTCCCAAAGAAGCAGAGGAAAAAACGGGGCGGGGAGAGAAACAGATGGACAGAACGGCCCACAACGCTCCGGCAAATGCCTGGTAGGATCGTCGAGGGAGGAGCATGGAACAGCTTCATCTTCGTTCACTCGACTTCAAAGCTCATCAAGACCAAACGCTCCGGCATCAGTCCTGTAGGGGGCGCCGTAGCCAATCCCTGCGAGATCCTCCCCCCCTCCCGCCTCCTTTCCCATTCGATGCAAACCTCCCCTGGGAACCGCCTTTTGGATGGACTCCAAGGAGGCTGAAAGCTGCCCCAATAAAGCCTCGTCGGCCCGATTTTCCTAACTCCTAATTGGTCGGCTCCCACGTCAAACACCCGCACGAATCCTCAGGGAGAAACCCGACGAGGGGAGGGGCAAATGCTTGGTGGGTGGGTGGGAGTGGTTAAAGTTAAGGTAACACCGGCCGTCGCTGACACGTAACCTGCGCATTGTTCTCGGCGTTGGCACGTTGTGCGCTGCGTAGGAAACCCTGGTGGCGGCGCTGTTGCTGCCGCCGCTGCCTCCACGGTTGTCATCTCGTGCGGGGAGACCGCCGTCATGGAAGGGAAACCTGCCGACCAGCTGCTATGCGACAGCCTCATCCTTTGGGTAAGTGGCGTGGGAAGGAGGGAGGGGGCGGGAAGGGCAACCCCCCCCCACTCCGCCTCTTGGTCTAATCCGAGCAGGAGCCCCATCACTCCCCCCCTCCCTTCGCCTTCTCCTAGTTGCCTCGAGCCGGTTCCGCGCGCCCTTCGGACTCACCGTCGCGAAACCACCCGACGTTGCGGAGGGCTGGTGTTGCGGGAAGGCGCCGTTCCCCAACAAGGCGCCCCGGTGACGGCAATATTGCCCTGGAGCGGAGCTGCAAATCCAATATGGAGATCTCCGCGCTCCTCTCCCGCTTCGCTTTCTCTCGCTCTTCTCGCATCCCGAACGCGGGTTGCCGTGTTCAGACGGTCGCGGTCTACCTTGGAGCTGCAATCTGGCTCCCCCGCAAACCCCTCCTCCTCTCTGGCTTGCTTGTTTAACGCTGCCCGCGTCTCCCTTCCGCATAAAATTGCCCCGGGGTGCGTTGGTTTGCACCGTACGCGTGTGGGTTACGCTTTTATGGGGGAGCCTCTTGGCAGGGAGCTTCCCTTTGGTGGGTCAATAAAAGTTTTAAAATGGTTCTCAATGGGATACCCAGTGAGTAATTCTCCAGTGTAACCTGTTTGGAGGAAGGGAGGGAGGGGGAAAGGGGGACATTTGAACCGTAAGGGGCGTGCATAAACGCACCAACCACCGTTCCTGTCCCCATTTATTCGTATTCATTTCCTGTTTTCATAACCATGTTTATACTTATATCTGTTATCTAATACATGCTAGATTGATAGATAGATAGATAGATAGATAGGTAGGTAGATAGGTAGGTAGGTAGGTAGGTAGGTAGATAGATAGATAGATAGATAGATAGATAGATAGATAGATAGATACTCTCTGCTAAACAAATAATTCCCTCAACACTGTCAAACTATTTACTAAATCTGCACTACTATTAACCACCTCATCTTTCCCACCACCCATCTCCTTCCACTTACGACTGTATGACTGTAACTTTGTTGCTTGTATCCTTACCATTTATATTGATACTGTTTCCTGATTGCTTATTTGTACCCTATGACTGTCATTAAGTGTTGTACCTTATGATTCTTGAGGAACGTATCTTTTATGTACACTGAGAACATAGGCACCAAGACAAATTCCTTGTGTGTCCAATCACACTTGGCCAATAAAAAATTCTATTATATATTCTATTCTAGATAGATAAAATAGGCAGGCTTCTGTGTCAGAGCGCTTTGTCTAATGCTGCCTTTCAATAGTCTAATGGAGTGAATCTTGTTTTCCTTCCATATCAGATTTTTCTAGGAAGCAGTGGTAGGAAACCAAGGAAGAATAATGTAAGGGATGAATCCCGCCTCCTTTAGACACGTGTGCTTGTTAAAGGGCGAGGAGAAAATCTAAAGATTATGATAGTTGGTAAAGGCTTTCCGGTATGCTTTCAGGTTCTGTCAAAGCTTGTGTGGAATATGTTACTTTTTTAAAATAAAGCTGTCAGTAATGATTTTTAACATTACATTGCAAATGGAAAACTTTGGGTAGGCCTTTCAGCTTTTCTTTGGTTCTGAAAATAACTTTGAGACATTTTATTAGCTGTGGTAGGAAATGGAATATAGACCAACAACATTCACCTGAAAACTTATTCTTACAGAAGAGTGAATTGTTAAGCTATGTTATATACCACAGGAATGCATACATTCGGTTTAAATTCAGATGAATTTTACTATGCAGGATCTAAAAGTAAGGACACTGAAAATATTCACATGGGGAATGTGAATATTCACACAGGCATTTTTAGGTGTGTATATAGAGGATGTGCCTGTCTTCTGTTTCCGGAAACAGGTTCTATCTTGTTTTGGAATTAGAAACTTTTTTTTAACTTTCATTGCAAGGTATTTGATTGGTTTTTTCCTCCACAAGTTATAACATTGGTGGTTAAAAAACATAAAATCAAGAAATCAAAAAAGCTGTTATCAATCTTCCTCATTAAATATTTCCACAATGCACAAATCTCATTTACAATATATTTAAAACAATATTCAAATAATGTAATAATAACCCAATCCTTTACTATAACTTCCATTCCACTCAGTTCTGTTTCATTTATTATCTAGTACTTGCAATCAGATAGCTTAATATCGCTTTGTCTTCTTAAAATAAAGAATTTACTGGTGATGTTTAGATAAATAAGTCATTATTGCCCCTTTGCTCTTTTATTTTGGAAAAAAAAGTTTTAACTGAGCTAGTTTGGTCTAGTTGTTTTCTTTTTTTTTTGAACAAAAATGTTTTTATTGTTTTTAAAATTCAAACAAATCACTTACCTAATTAAACATTTGTGCAACCCCCCCTTCCCTCCCCCCTCCCCCGACTTCCCAGAAGAAAAACAGGGTATAGGTTTTACCAAACATACGCTAAAATATGCTAAATTAATGCAAGACCTTAAAACTCCCTAGACCCCTTAACTCCCCTTCTACAGATTATTCATCAACCTCCCTTTAAACACAAAATAACATATAATCCTTTAGCCCTAAGAACTTTTTTTAAAAAAACCAATAACAAACACTAGTAGATAATACATACTTAATCATTTGGCTATTCCTCCTGCTTTTGTTCTCAATATTCAAATATTTTTAACAATAACTAAACCTTAATTAATCATTAATTGAACTCTCAATTCATTTAGTTAATCATTGTAGTTAATCATTAATACATCAATAATTAGACCAGAAAAAAATAATCTTCCATTCTTCCTTTCTTTCTGTATTTTTTCCAATCTTTCTTCCTCCCACCTTCTTTTATTTTGAGGAGGTTTTGAATTTTAACTGGGGGTTGATGTATCTTTAAGACTTGTCCCTTTCTCAAAACCATTTCCTCTGGTTTAGAGCCCCCATATCGACTCTTCTTGCTTGTTTAGACAGTCAGTTCATAGAACAAAGAATTAACTCGATCAGTTTGCAAAGAAAAATCCAGTTGCTGCATTTCAATTAATTGTGTGAAAGCCTCTGCCAAATCCTCCGAAACCTCGTAGAGCTGATCAGTTTCTTCTTCTTTCTGCTCCAAATTATATTTTTGAAAAGTTCTGCCAGTTAATTCCAAAAGGGCAGGAAGAAGGTTTGAAGATTCTTGAGGGTCAGCCAGTTCCAGCTTCTCTGTCTTGATCAAAATGTCTCCTACATTGTCATTATGCTTTCCTTCAAAAACATCCTCAGTTGCTTTTTTTATCCTCCACCAGTTCTGTAAGTTTTTGTTCCATGATTGCTGTAAAGTTATTAATAATTTCAATTTGGTTATTCATGGCTTCCTTTATAAATTCTGCAAGGTCTCTAAAAAAAGCCTCCTGGCTCTGTGTTTCAGTTCTCTGTGTCATTTCTAATGCCATTAAAGAGCCTCCACTTTCAGAAACTCCTTCCTTGGAAGCCATATTATTTTAAAAGAATTTTTCTTTTCACAGCCATAAAGTCTCTCAAACAGCTTTCTCAGATTTATTTGTAGTTTATCAAGCAAGATAGTCTTTTCTAGACCCAGCTCTCAAATCCAGCAGTTTAAATCCAGTCTCTGAGCACAAATCTGTTAACAAGCACTTTCATTTCCAACTTTCACTTTCACACCCACAACAAAGACCCATTTCCAGCTCCAGCTCAGCAAAATCAAATAGAAACAATGTATCCCAGGAGTTACCCATATACTTGCAAAAGCTTGTTCTCCTGCTTCCATTCTGTCTGCTTTTTGAAATCAATTAATCTTCTTCTTGGCAGCAGAGTCGGTCCCCGGTGTCTGGCTCCATTTAAACGGAGTCGCCACGGATCCGGAGCTTCAGTGGGCTGAACGGGGAGCTCTCACCCTCCAAGCCCTTGGAATTACTCCAGGGGCTCCCGGGGAGCTCTACCCTCGCCCACCGGCTCTCCTCTCCTTCTTCTCCCGAAGGAGAGGTTTTTAAGCCGTCTGACAGCTGATTAGCGCTGTCAGAACGGCTCGAACGGAATCACGGGGCTGGCGGTCCAAGAAGACCGTCCGCGACGCCAGGTGGTGCCAACCGGAAGCCTTGTTTGGTCTAGTTGTTAAGGTACCAGGCTAGAAAATAGTGAGTTCTAGTTCTGCTTTAGGCATGAAAGTCAGCTGGGTGATTTTGGGCCAATCATTCTTGCTCATCCCAACTCATCTATTGTGGGGGAAAATAGAAAGAGGAAGGAATATTAGATATGTTTGTCACCTTGAGTTATTTATAAAAATAATAAAGGTGAGATTAACAATATTTCAAAAATTGAGTTACAGTATATTAAAAGCTTGATTAAGAGATAAGATGATATAACCTTTATTGTCACTTTTTCTGTGTACACACTGAAACGTATTAAAAATGAAATTCTGATGCCTGTTCTAAAAAGAATGTGTATGTGTGTTTTGGATGTATGTGTAAGTATGTATGTATAATATACATATGAAAGTTATCTTTTTATTATTTCTTGTATGTGATGAGGAAGAAGTTATATTTGATTTATTACTTGTTTTACAAATTCTGCATGACATAAACATTTGACAGGTGTAACGTCAGTGAAGGGCCTGTGATGACTCTAACTGTAGGTTTTAAGAGTAATTTAAGGTGATCTTTGTGCCAGAGCAATAATAGCTTTTTTATGAAAATGCTCTCATATTACTCATAAGAAGTAATTTATAACTTAGCAAGTAAAAGCTACTAGTTAGTTATTTTTATTACAATGCCATCAGAAATAAGATACAATCCAAATTAAGCAACTGTGACTTAAATTTAGAACTTTACTGATTGGCTTCCTTACTTGCTTTTTTTTTTTTTTACAGCATAGTATAAAAATTATTTTACATACAAATATATCAAACAAATGCATCACTCAAGTGCTGCAGAGGGTAGTTTTGTAGTTCACAAGAGACTCTAGAATTCCTACAATAGAGAAATAAATGAAAATGTCTGGTGCTTCTAAATCGGTAGCCTAGTGAAGCAGAAAAATACTTTTAAGGTTAAACCAAAAACAAAACCAAGTTCTCTCTCAGCCAATTACTTCCTAAAATTCTTGGTTGCCAAGCAGTTAAGACAGTCAGTGAAGATTTGTACAGAACACGTGTGTTCATTTCTGTAGAATGCCAATATTCCATGGCATGCAATTTGAAAAACATTACTTTAGCCATTCCCAAATCATCAAATCATTCAAAATAGTTTATAACCAGTTTTTTGTTTTGTTTTTTATTCTTTCTTTGTATCATATGAAAGAGTTTCTGGGTTTTAGGTCAAAGGAAACTAAGTGTCAAAGGATATAGTGAAAGGGTAGAAAACTGGTTTCATTAACAGTTTTTGTCACTTTACATCCCTTTGCATTCTTTCATCCTAATAGATGGTTGGCAATTAGGTGGAAGTACACATTCTTAACACTTGGAGTTCCCACCATTTCTTGTCAATCTTAATACTTGTATGTAATTCTTGGTTATGCAGAATTACTTTTGAGGGGAGTTAATCTTTTTTCCTATAAATTAAAAAACTTAATACAGTTTACAGCAAAATAGTGTAAGCTGCACTTCTTTATTAGGTTTATATTTGCTGCTCCTGCAAATAATAATTTAATAATAATTTTTTAATCAGAAAGTATGCTTAG